CCGATTCTCTCCCCCATCCCACTGGGGAGGAGTGAACGAGCGGCTGTGTGGTGCTTAGTTGCTGGCTGGGGTTAAACCACGACACTTAGCCAAGGAGAAACTGAAAAGAATAATGAAGCTCACATGGGCTATGAGTTCACGCCTTCCGCTTTCCAAGCTGGCAGATCACAAGGCACGAGTTTTTAGGATTAAGTCCTAAAAGATCTCTAGTATCCTTCTTCATCCCTTCCAGGAACTTGATCTTGCATGTGAAGAATAGAGAAGAGACCAGTCCAAAACAGAACAGCTTCTCGAGCCAGCCTGTGGCAGATCTGGGGTCTCTCAAGACTCAACTCACTCAACAGACCACACTGCTTTCTGTAGTGAACACAAGTATCATAGTCCTGTTGTTCATGCAATAACAAGCATTAAAGGCCGAAAAAGCTGTTCACAAAAGTGAACGTGCTGAAGCACGCAATACTCCCGAGCAGTCACCAGATGTCACCACGTCTCAAGAGATTCGTAGGGAAACTCGTGGCAGGCCAAGCAATAGAAATAGAAAAGGTGGTTTCTATCACACATATGCAGCTTCACGTCCAAAGCAAGACCAGAAAAAGCAACTCAGTGGCCAAGACTACTTCCCATCAAGCAACTTAACGCATGCATGTTTGGGAGTTAAAGGACCTCGACTGGCCAGGTAAGGCAGTGCCTTCCAACCCTTCTATCTCAGCCACGTGGCTGCTGCTCTCTCTTCTTTCTCATTTCCCACCTCAAGCCCTGTATCCTTGCTCCTCAACCACTCATACAGGAACACTGCCTCTGGAAGCGATCAGCAGGCCCGCTTCCCAGGACTTCCGCAGCTCTTAGGCAACCCAGGTTTGCTCACCACAGTTCGACGCTGGGTGGAACTGAAACTCTTCGTCATTGCGCTCTTATACATACATAACAACCTCGGTGCAGATGTTAATGCACCTTCTAAATTTGGTCTCAGATTAAAACTTCCTCATTTCTTTTGTGGATTTGGGTTCCAGCATTTATATTCTGAACTGCTACTGTCGAGATGCTGGTTCTGCCTTTTGTACAAGGCAGGACTCAGGCAAAGCACGCTCTGTCCACAGGTAATGACCCAGCCTGCTGCTGACAGGAATGCTGCACCAACATCAGCAATCTTACAGTCCATTCTAAAATGGCAGTGAAAGTGTCAGGAATAAGTCAAATACAGATTTCTACATCACCCTCTATAAAGTTTAAAAAAAAAAAAATATAGTATAACCAACACATACACACAGTCTCCTTGGTCAAGAGGGACTGCAGTACCAGCCCCAAAAATATCCCTGTTTGCTTTTTTCGAGTTCTGTGGCCTCCCTATCTTTCTGCCCCTTCTGCTGGAAACAGTAGTCAGTGCTGTGCACATCTAGACCCCTATCAAGCAGTAGCCAATAAAATGCCAAATATTTGGCCTGTTGGGCTATCATAGTGTCCACAAGTTCTAGTCATGTTCCAGGGTCCTCATGCAGTAGACAGAAAAAAAAAAAAAAAAGTTGTAAAGAGTTCCTGTCCAGAAAGTGATGTTGTGATGTTACGTCACCTCTAGTGATGCCTGCAGGACAAAGTGGCTGCCATATCTCCCCCGCAGCCATGCATGAATCAGTGACAC